CCCCCCAGCAGGCCTGGCCTCTCTCTGCAGGGGGAAGGGCGAGACCCGGGCGAAGCTGAAGCGCTCGCAGAGCTTCGGCGTGGCCAGCGCCAGCAGCATCAAGCAGATCCTGCTCGAGTGGTGCCGCAACAAGACGCTCGGCTACCAGGTGAGCCCGGCCCGGCCGCCGGGACCCCGGCAGAGGCGGGAGTGGGCGCCACACCCCGCTCGTGTTCCCCTGGCCGGGACGGGAGCCCCAGTCTGGGGCGGAGGGGTAGGAGCTGGAGAAACTGTACCCTCCCGATCGGTCCCCAGCCGCCGCAGGTGGAGTCCAGAAGGCACGGCTTGTTGCTGAGCTGGGGGGATGGTGGGCCTGGGGAGGGGCTGGGAGGACCTGCTTGTGGGGTCGAATCAGGTGGAGGAGCTGAGGCCGGCGCTGTGCTCCCCCTTACCTCCCCGCGTTGGCCTCGCAGCACGTGGACCTGCAGAACTTCTCCTCCAGCTGGAGCGACGGGATGGCCTTCTGCGCCCTGGTGCACTCCTTCTTCCCCGATGCCTTCGACTACAATGCCCTGAGCCCCGCGCAGCGGCGGCAGAACTTCGAGCTGGCCTTCACCATGGCCGAGTAAGTATGGCGGGTCCCCTGGCTGCCAGCCCCTCCCAGTCCCCAAGCCCGAGTTCTGCCCTGCGTCCAGCACAGGGGCCGGCAGGACGGGGGCAGCTGTCCGCAGACCTGAGAGCCTTGAGGCCACCCAGTCTGTCGCCTCCCGTACAGATGGAGAGACTATGGCCGGGAAGGGGGGATTTTCCCTGGGCCCCCCGGCACTCAGTAGTAGAGCCAGACTCTCTCCTCTTCTCGTGCACCTGCCCTCTTGGCTGGTACCCGGCCTCTGGTGTGCGGTCTGCCAGGCCAGCCACAGACAAGGTGCAAGGGGCAGTGGGGCAGGGTCCGCCGGAGCACTGAGCCTGTCCTCTCCAGGCTGGTGAGAGAGACAGTTGCTTGGGAGAGCCCAGCAGCTGAGCAGCAGGAAACTGAATATCTGCCTGGGGGACATTTCAGACTTCGCCAGTAGGTACACTTTGCTTCCCTAAATGTCGTAAAACCGTTTGATATGAAATTGCCTACCTTCTTAAGACCTGCTCATAGGGAGAAGATTGGGTGAGGGGTGATTCTGGGTTCAGGAGGTGCTCGGGGAGCTTGGCATTTGGTCATAGGCTGAGGGCTACCCCCTGTGCCTCAGGGGAGTGTCAAAGAATGCTCTGGTGAAGGTGCCTTCAAACCGAGTAGGCAGGAGGGTTTAACAAAGGGCTTCCTTGCAAACGTGTGGGCAGGAGTGAGCGATGAGCCAGGCGCCGTGGGGTACCCTCGGGCTGGGGAGAACAGCTGTGCGGAGAGGGCTGGCTGATAGGAGCCGTACTTTGGGGCAGTGGGTGCGACCAGCTCACAGTGACTCGGCAGGAAGGGAGCTGAGGGCGTAAACCCTCCACCCTCCCCCACCTCCTGCCCTCATGCCAGGGCCTCACGTGGGCTGGACACGGAAGGCAGAGGGCAGGGGAGCTGTTGCTGCGGTCCGTCGAGTCCGTGCCCCCGGTCCAGGGCAGGCACGGGGCAGAGATGAGGGTGTTGAGGGCTGCCTGTTGCTGGGCTTTGTGGAATTAGGGGGAGGAAGGTCAGAGGGCAGGAGGACCTCCCCAGAGCTGAGTTTCCTGGAGGGAACATTTTTCATTCTCTCCTGGCCGCCCACCTTTGTGCCTGGTGGAGTGAGCCTCTGGCCACCCGTGTGTGCCTGACCCCCCTCGTGTTTTGTCCGCGACCCCGGTGCCCACGTCCGGGAGGTGCTCTCACGTGCTGGTGGAGCTGGAAGAGCCCTCCCTGAAGCCTGGCCTGCCCCCCCCCCCCCCCACCCCGAGTCTGTTCCACCCCACACCTGGCCCCAAGCCCGGCCAGGGAAGGAGTTGGAGCTCACAGGTTACAGCCCCGTGCCCGGGACTGCGGGTCTCGCTCTAGGGGCAGAACGGAGACCCTGACTTGCTGGCGTGCCGGCGTGGCCCCTGCTGTGTTGTCTCGGGTGACCCGCGTGGCCTCTCGCCCCGTGGGGTCGTAAGAACTCCTTGTATGCTTTGGGAGCCGTCTCTTCCCTGGCTGTTTAGGATTAGCTGTCGTCCTAATTGCGGAAACAGCTTTGGGCAGAGCGCGTTACACAACCGAATCCAGACGGTGCTGAAGTAGCGCCAAGGGTCACGGCTCGATGCTGAGGAGGGGGCGCCTCCCCAGCTGCTTGGAAGCCCAGAAAGGGTGACTGTCGAAAAGCAGATGCTCAGAGTGGACAGGGCCCGGGCTCCGATGTGGGCACCCAAGATCCCCGCCCCCCGCCACCGCTGGGTGAGGCCACGCTTGTCTGACAGTTTTTCTCCATCGAGTCCAGTGGGCCTGGCGGTGCCCGCTCAAGCCCCGGCCGCCTCGGTCACCCTCAGCCCTGGACCAGGCTGGGAGGGAGTGGCAGGGAGAGGGGTGGCAGGCAGGGAGAGGGGTGCCCCGGGCCCCAGGATGGTGGCCCTGCACCCCAGCTCGCAGGGAACGTAACTTCCCTTGGCGGCTGGAGCCAGAGCCGTTCGTGGCTGTGCTTTCCCAGCACGAGGTGTGAGCTCAGAGAGCCTCCAGGCTCCAACCAGATGTTTCTTCTACTCCCACATTGGGGTTGGGGCGTGGGAGCCTGCTTCAGGCTGTACCTCCCTCCCACCCAGAGCAAAGGACGTGGTAAAAACGGGGCCCCGCCTTCCTGCCGCCTGAGCCGGCTCTGGCTAGCTGGGGAGGGGAGGGGAGGGGAGGGGAGGATGGGCTTCGGGCCCCTGAGATGAGTTCTGGCTTATCTGCTGACTCGAGAGAGGGCAGGGAGGGGCGCCCACAGCCGGCCTGAGGGGGAGGAAGGTGCCTCCCCTCCTGAGTCATCCGGGAACTCAGCTCACAGGTACGTGGGGGACAGGGCTGGGAGGGTGGCCCTGCCTGCCCGAGGCCTCCTGGGAGGATGGCAGCTGGGCTCGCCTAGTTTCTTGGACAATAAGCTGGTTAGAACAGCTGGAAAGAAGGCACAGGGACACCTACTTGAGGATACTGGGTACCAGTGTCTTAACAGACTACTCCTTAGTTTTGCCAGCAAAAGCCAAGCAGACACGCGGGGCTGGGGGAAAGCCGTCAAGGGCCACGCAGGCAGCAGAAAGGCAGTTTGCGGTGGGCGGTGTAGGGTGATGGGAGCCTGGGCTCTGATGAAGACACAGCCTTTGGAAAGGAAAAGCAGCCGTGGACAGGGCCCCTGCACATCAGGAAGGAGAAGCTTCCAGACCCTTGGGCGAGCAAGGGGCCTTCAAAGCACAGAGACGCTTCTAGAACCTGGGGAGTAAGAGGGGTTTGTGATGCCCCTCCCCCTGATAATTTACCTCCCCAAGATTCCCCGGGGCCTAATCTGTGAGTGATGCGGTGTCGACAACACAGTGAGCTCCCCTCGTCGACAGGCGTTCGGGGCTTGGAAAGCGGGAGGACCGGCTCCTGTGGCGGGTGGTTCTCCGCCGAGATGGAGGGTGCGGTGTAGGCCCGGGGCCGGCCAGTGTAGCTGAGGAGCCCGCTTGCCCTGTGGGGAATGTGTCCTACTCTCAGGTTACAGCCCAGCTGAGGGAGCTTCCAGGCTATTTGTAGTGCCCATGTGTCTCTAAAACCAGATAGGAGGCTGTAGTCCGAGCCCTGGCATCCCAGGCTGCATTTAGAGAAGGCTTAGACAAATAAAAATAACCCCTCAGGCACCTCCTCCACCTGCTGGCCTGACAGGCTAGCCCTGGAGTGACGAAGATCACAATAGGATAGTAGTAGGAGAAAATCCTCTGACCCTTTTTTAACCCCAAACAAGGTAGGGCTAATTCATCTTAAAATTGGTAGTAGGCAAACGATAGCTCTGGTTCTTGCTGCGCAGCGACATTTGAAATGACCTGTACTTTCTTCTTTGGATGATTATTCCATGCTGTTTGAACTATTTAAAACAAGTTTGTGTTTTCACAAAAGCAGTTTTGTTTTCATTTAAAAGGCAGTTGGGGCCTCTAATATTTTGAGACTGAAATGTTTTTATAAAAGTCAGTGTTCATCATCATTTTCCTTTACTCACATCCTGTCTCAGGAGTTGTGTCCATAGCTTCTAGAAATCTTATCATTACTGTCATGGCTGGTTGGGGTGGGGTGGGGACCAGATGGTTAGGGGCTCAGTCCCCTGGTTTCTGGGGAAGCCAGTACCTTGCCTATAGCTTCCTGTCTGCGGGGTAGAGGGTGATACCAGGGTCAGGCCTTAGCGCCCGTCCTGACTGCCACCCTGGGCAGGGGCAGGGATGTCATTAGTGGGAGGGTCAGTGCAGCCTCTAGAATGAAGAAGGGGGGCCAGCCCAAGTTGGACAACACTTGGGACGTGCCAGCAATCCTGGAGAGAAACCAGAACCCGCTCAGAGGAGGGCCCCCAGGTACCCACTGGGGGCACAGCGAAGGAACCAGACATGGTTAGTTTCAGGGAAAGATGGATATTAAGATTCTCTTCCAACACGTGAAGGGCTCTTTTGTGGGGGGAAAAGCAATTAGACTGAGAAGAGCCTTGTGAGGCCAATAGGTAGAAAGTACCAAGAGGCAAAATCGCGTAAGAAACGTGAGGGAAAACTTGCTCCTGGCCAGGGCCACCCGCAGAGGGATCGGAACGGTGCTTGGAGGAAATTAGGGCCCCTTCCCTGAACCTGGAGGGGAGCATGGTCGAGGCAGGGCCTTCACCAGGTGGTTGGTGCCTCCGAGGGGGGTGTTTGGAGGGTGGGATTTCAGTTCTCTTCCAAGGCTGAGGTTTAGGGTTCTAACGGTGCCCACGTTTCCTGGGGGACTGAGTACTCAGGCCACTGCTGTCAGTGGTGATACCTGGACACACACCTGGCATTCTCCGTCGGCAGCCCTGGGAGGGTAGGAGGAGCTCTCCCTGCGCTGCAGGTATGGAGAAGGGCATCAGACGCCACCTGATAGCTCAGGGAGGTGAACTCAGGTCCACGGCCTCCCCAGGAACTCAGATTTTCAGTCCTTGACTATCAACAAAGCACCTCTGCGTGCATATCCTCGTCACAGCGTCCACTCCCCTGACACCGAGCCCCGCCCCGGCCCATCCTGGGCAGCCAGGGTGCCCGCTTATCGGGCCAGAGCCACTTGCCACCCACGAAGCCCTCGGCTTCCCTTGCAAGCTGCCCGCTCCAAACCGAGAGGGAGCCCGCCGACGGGATCCAGGACCGGCGTCTCCGTTTCGCCCTGACTTTCGGTTTCTGATAGGAGGCCCAGCGACAGGCCAGCACCACAGGATGGGCCCCGTGCTGAGATTACAGTGCTTGTCTTTGGAGCACGCAGGCCCAGGAGCCGGCAGGGACTGGTAGAAAGTGCTTGGGGTACAAGGCACCACCTCCCAACAAGAGCAAGCCTACCGGGAGGGGGAGCGGAGGTCGGGGGCTGACTTTCCACCGAGGAAATGGCACGGAAGGGTGAAGCTATGGGCAGAGCCAGGATCTGAACCCAGCTCTTTAGAGTTCCAGTTCAGGCCTCTTTTCCCTGATGACCCACTCTGCTGCTTGGAGCGAACCATGATAATACAGACAGCAACAGTGACCATTCCTAACGTTTACTGAGCTCTTCTGATGAGCCAGACACCGTTCCTGCTGGTTGTGTGATGAGCTCATGGATCCTCCCACCTCCCTGTGAAGTGGCTGTTATCCAGTCGGGGAAACTGAGGCCCTGAGAAGTTAAGTGTCGTCCTCAAATCATATCGCTAGGAAGGATACAGCTGGGATGTGAACAGTGTCACTCATGGACTTATGGATATGGGGGCAAAAAGACCGGAGACCCTGGAACCACAAGAGTGCACACAGCTGTTGAAGCTGATTGGACCGAGTGCAGTTGCTTTGGGCCTTTTGGGTTCGGCCTGATGACGCGTCTGGCTCGGCACAGGGCGGGGCTTTGCTGGGCTTGGCGAGGGTCCCTACTGTTACCTCCCAGGTGGATGCTCATCTTCCCACCTCCATGAGACCTTGAAGCCGGGACCTTCAGTCCCCCTCCCAACTGGGAACGGCAGAGGGAAGAGCTTTTTTTTGCAGCCCAGTGAAAGGCCCCAGTTTCCACATGCATCTACACCAGTGGGCCAGAAGTTAAACCAGTATTTCCCAGAGCATGAGGCGGGCCCAGGGCGAGGTTGAGGGGAGGCTCACAAGATGATTTGAAGCAACTTTTAAAACTTTGAGTTGTTGTGACCCTTGAGTAGATAATAAAATCAATTTAGTGGCTTACAACCAGCATTAAAATAAACCAAACAGAAAAACAAAAAAAAGGAGGTGGGGAGAGAAATAAAGATGAAATCTAGAGAAAATATGAGTAGTAGAAAAGGTCAGTATCTTTGTGAAACTTTATTTCCACATAAATGTATGAGCGTGCTGAATGAATCACAATGAAACACCTCTAACTATGGGTTATGGTTAAAAAAAAAGGTGAAAGACACTGTTGTTTGTACGCGGGCCTCTCACTGTTGTGGCCTCTCCCGTTGCGGAGCACAGGCTCCGGACGCGCAGGCTCAGTGGCCATGGCTCACGGGCCCAGCCGCTCCACGACGTGTGGGATCTTCCCACATGTTCGGGGCACGAACCCGTGTCCCCTGCATCGGCAGGCGGACCCTCAACCACTGTGCCACCAGGGAAGCCCAAAGACACTGTTTTAGGAAGCATATGGGTGAATTTATTTTTTACTTTATTCATTTTACATTTATAGTCCGTGCTGATTCTCCATATACTGCTGATACACGTTGAATTTTTTTAGTGAAATTTAATTTTGGAGCTAAATTTTTATTAATGAAACTAACCTTTTCGATTAATATAAGTTTGTCTAAATTAATAAAATTGAATTTTTTAGCAGAACTTAATTTAGTGAAACCTTAAAGTGAAGCTGAATTTCACTGAAATTTTAAAGTAAGTCTAGTTATGTAAAAACACGAGTCGTAAGGGCGGTTCCTGGATGTGGGAGTCTGGGAAACACTGCATTAGAGAAAGTAACTGCAAAGGCTCTTCTGGGGTGATGTGAATTCACAGTTGGAGAGCACTTGGGAGCCTCCAGCTCCGGGCTGATGGCTGGGGCTGGCGTTCTGATGCGGCTTCTGTGTTTCAGGAATCTGGCCAACTGTGAGCGCCTCATTGAGGTGGAGGATATGATGGTGATGGGCCGCAAGCCAGACCCCATGTGCGTCTTCACTTACGTCCAGTCTCTGTACAACCACCTGCGTCGCTTTGAGTGAAGCCCCTCGGGGCTGGAGAGCCAAGCCCCGAAGGAGTCGGTGGGGCCGCCTGTGTCCCGGAGTCAGGATGCCCCCCCGAGCAGAGTTGCATTCTGGTGTGAGAGAGCTGTTTGTTCTGTGCCTCGTAACCGCGCTCCCCAACCTGCCCGGCTGCGTTACTGATGGGAAAGTACCGCTGAGCTGCGTGCACTGACTGCACTGATCACAGCCAGGGGCTCCAAGGCAAAGGAAGTATTACCAGAGAGAGAGAAATTGGTGCTAAATAATTACCTTCCTTAAAAATAATAATAATAATAATGCTTGTCTGTAGATTCTGGAAGCCTGAATCAGTGTTCCCTCTGCTGAACTGGATCCATTGGCTTTACAGGGTTGCATTGACTACCAAGTGTTTTTTAATCCAAACACCCAGAGTTTTCTACTTCCTCACACTATTGTAGGTTCCTTTCCTCCCGCGCTCTGGGCCACTGCCAGGAAATATAGAGACGCTTAATCAGCAGCTTGACAAAGAAGACTGAAGTCTTGGGAAGAAACTGTTTAATCACTCCCAGGTCCTGGGCAGCAGCTGACCTGCAAGTCACCTCGGCTCTCTGGGGAAATGGGAGGGCTCTCGCCGGGTCCCAAAGTGGTCCTGTCCTTCCCAGGAGGGCTCCGCACGTGTTTGGCTGAGAATAGGCCCTCGGGAAGTTAACACTTTTAGGGAAGGACGGGCATTTGGTGCTGCGAGGTGGTTTTTAGTCACAGCTTCTCTTAAGGGATTCGCTGCAGATATTTATAAAAAGTAACTCCATCTGTACCACTGACCGTTTGTACATAAAAAGATGTGTCGCACTTCGCTTGGGATTTGTTATTTCTGTTTGGGAGATGGGGTGCCTGGGAATAAGAGATTTCTCATCCGTTTCAAATGAAAATCTGCTTACATCCCGCCCCCCCCCCCCCCCCACTTAACTGTTTCTATACCAAAATCACCACTCAGAAAGTTCAAAATCACATTTGCTCTTCTTGCGTTTGCCTGTCAGTCACCCGTCTCCGTGTCATGGAAGGAGCACGGACAGAAAGTCCCCCCTTGTGGTTCTGTCCCCTGGAAGTTGACTGACAGATCTGTGATCGGCAGTGGGGTGGTCCCGCACGTGGGGGAGCCCATCGAGGGGCACTGGTTTATTTTCACAGCTGTTCGGTGGTACAAAAAAAAGCTGTTAGGGTTTTAGTAGAACATCTTTAGATTCTATAAAGCTGCAGCCATTAGCTTATTCTTATTCAAGAAGCATTTTCTAATTGGGTTGGATTTTAGCCATGAACTTGGAGGACTTCCCTTTAAGGAGTTAATGTATGTCTTCAGCTCGTGCAGTGGGTTCTAACCACCAGCATCTGTGCCTTCTCAGAGTCACCCGTGGTCCCTTGTGTTGGGGGACAGAGCTCTTTGGGGGTGTCGGGAGGACCACGGCAGAGCTTGCCAAGTGGGTGATTGGTAGTCTCAGCAGATTTGTTTGTTCGGGCTGCAGCCTTGTCCCATCCTTTGGATTCTTCCACAGTGGGAACCACTCCCTTTCCAGCTCTTGTCTCGTGGAGGCTTGGGAAGGTGAGCCCTATTATTAGCAAAGACACTGCACCTGGTTTTTTTTTCTTACTGAAGTTTAGGGTTTCAAACCTAAAGCCAGTCCAAGCACACAGGAGCTCTATAAAAAGCACGCCTATACATTCCTGAGTCCTTGCACATGTTAAGCAGAGCGCTCCTGAATTGCACACGTGGTCTTGCACCTCTGCACATAAAATAGAGCAGACCCTGCTGGCGTAATGAACAATTTCTCTTAAATTGAGGCGTGGTGTCCCTCATGTCTCACATTCAGAGTAATCCAGGCTAGATATCTTTAAAGTAGGTCCTGTAATGTTCTCGTCTGTGGTTTGGGGGGGAGGGGCAAATGAGGGCTCATAAGCTTTAAGGGGTTTGAAACTTGATTATCTCCAAGACAAAGCCTGAGGGTTCCAAGGTGTGGGGCAAGTAGGGGGGGTGGGCGGAACGCGAGCAAGCCGCCCAGTCTCAAGACATTTGGAAGCCATCGTTTTAGATCAGTCTTGCACGGAAAGTTCCCATTTGTGCAATTGGACGTCGAGTTGCCTTCTACCATGGTACAGATGGTCTCACATGTTTATTTCCCATCCCCACGACACCTCCCGAGAGGAATGATTTCTCAGAGCTGCTTGTGTTCCATAAGATTCTTCTGCTTTCCCAGATCCCTTCACCTGGATTTTGTTAAAACTTATTAAGTGACCAGATTGGCTTGTGCGTTTTTCCCTGAAGGGAATGTTTCTCCAGAGCCAAGATGGGTTTTAGCTTCTCTGACAGCTGATGGAGATTTTTCTAGCCAAGGGAGAGCTCATAAGCACTTTCTGAATATGATCTTGTACATGCTGGTTAGAGGAGAACGTTCAGGCCAGGTGTTCGGGGAACAGTCTGTGAAGGCCAACGAATTTCGCAAATGTGTTCGATGACGAAAAGCTCTCAGTTTTCCCTGCTGCAGCGGTCAGTGCTCTGTAACTGGAGGAGACATGTGTGAGAGGATATTTTCTTTTCTACCATCCCAGGTCTATGTGACTCCAGGCAATTGGATGGCATGCTAAAAATGCTGAGTAAGTTGGTCAGTTTTAGGTGGGACATCTGTGCAACCCAGAAGAACCAACTCTGAATTGGGTTTCTCGAACTTAGGGACAGGTGACCAACTCATCCTGGTGAATCGATTATGCCTGTCGAGACGGCCAACTTGATCTGCCTTTGTTCCCCTCTCTGAGCTACGCTTTCGCATCCACCCATCATCCCCTTCTGCTGAGTGACGAATGTTCTCGGTAGGATTAGTATCCGTCTTATCTGTCTCGCTTTTGAGATTTGGTTTGGGCTTGCTTTTAAAGCCTTTGATCTCTTATCTCTTGGTTTTTGGACTTGATTTGACATCAAAGAGCCCTCATCGTCCTTTGAAAGGGCACCTTAAACATGCACAGGCCTGCCTCTTCCCTAGAAAGCACCAAACAAACCAAAAAACACCTGGGAAGGACGAACCAAGAATGCTGCGCTCTCTGGGGTATCCAGGCAGCCTCTGCAGGAGGGAGACCGTCCGACTGGGTGTAATGAAGAGCTGATGGAGGCCCCGAATCAGTAGGGCAAGACGATATGGGTGGTGACACCCGAGACGTGCCAGTGTTTGGGTGCATCTTGACTCCACCCTGGTCCCTTGAGTTGATCCAATGCTGTCACATAGGCAAGGGGCAAAGATCTATATTTTTTACAAACCAAATTTTTCATCACTCACAGTTACAAGTGTCCTTAGTGTGTCTGATATCTCGGTGATATGTGCCTTATTAGACCCTCTTCCTGGCATCCGTGACCTCACCCACACTCTCAAGTTCCCCCCACCTGTCCGGCTGTTTCTTCCCAGTCTCCACCATGGCCTCCTCTCCCCCCATCCGTCACTCCCCTGTGCTGTGTCTTCTGCTCTGTGCCCTGTCTTCTACATCAGGGGTTCATAACCCAGGACTGGTGTGGGCTTTGGGAGCCTGAATGTCCAGATAGAATGTTTTCCCTTCCTTTTCCCTTCACAACTGGCTCCTTCTCCAGTGTTGACTGCGTCAGCAAACGGCAGCATGATCACTACCCATTGTCTATGCCAGGGACCTGAAAGCCACCTTGTCCCTGGGCATCACGGACCAACTGCCAAAGCAGTTCACCTGTTTCCTTTCGTGTGTTGTACACCAGGCATTTGCAAAACTCTTGCTAGCAGAGCCTCATGATTTCTATTGAGTGTCCCGACGCATCAGAGCTACTAGTTTTCCCCAAGGTTTTATTCTGATAATCCTCAAATTTACAGAAACGTTGAAAGAAGAGTTCAGCGAACATCGCGTATTCTTTTGTCTTGATAACATTCTGCCATGTTTGTGTCCTGCCTCCATTTTTCTGAGCCATTTGGAAGTAAGGTGCATTATGACACTTGGCCCTGAATACCTTTTTAGCAGACGTCTCCCGAGAATAAGAACATTCTCCTACATGAGCACGATATACCAGCACACCTAAGAAACGGAACATTTACTTGTATACAGTGTACATTCACATTTCCCTAATTGTTTCCACATGCCTGTTAGGCTGTTAAAAATTGTTAACAATCCAGGATCCAATCAGAGTTCACACACTGCACTGGGTGGTTGTGTCTCTTTAATTGCTTTTAATCTAAAACCGTCCCTCCACTTTTTACTGCCTATTTTTAACTTAACTCTTTTGAAGAGCCCAGGCCGGTTGCCTTGTAGACCGTTGCCCACTCTGCTGTCGTTTGTTTCCTCCTGAGTAGATTCACGTGAAACGTGTTTGGCACGAATACAGCCCAGGTGATGGATGTTTCCATAGCATCACATGAGGAGCACACGGTGCGGGTTAGCCCCCTTTGGGCCATGGGAGGGTTGATGGTGTGGGGAAGGGTGTCCACCAGGCCTCTCCATTGCACCCTCTCCCCCTGTAACTAGTTAGAAACCTGGGTGATGCTCTTGAGACCCTGTGAGTATCCTTCTCCCCAACATCTTTAGAATTATCAGCTGATGATTTTTGCCTGAATCTGTGATTAGACTGGGAGTTGAAAAGGGTGATTTTTTTTTTAATTGAAGTATAGTTGATGTACAATGTTGTGTTAGTTTAAGGTGTACACCAAAGTGATTCAGTTGTGCATACATATTCTTTTTCAGATTCTTTTCCATTATAGGTTATTATAAGATATTAAATATAGTTCCCTGTGCTGTGCAGGAGGTCCTTGTTGGTTGTCTGTTTTATATATAGCAGTGTGTCTCTGTTAATCACAAGCTCCTAATTTATCCTGCCCAGCCCCGCCACCCTGCTTTCCCCTTTGGTAACCATACGTTCCTTGAAAGGGGTGATTTTTGAGTTCCATCATTTCTTCTATATTTAATAGCTGACACTCCTCTGTAAAGAAGGCCATTCTCTCTTCATATCTCCTTTCTTTGAGTATTACTATGGACTTATGATTCTTTTTCAAAAAATGCAATGTGTTGAAATCCCTGTCATTATTATTTTTGATACTCGAACTGTCCAGTTTGTCCAGGGGGAGAAGACAGCTCTTGTGTCCTTTTGATGTGTCCCCATCAGCCTCTGAGCACTTCCTTGCCCGGTGGCACAAGGTGTTCCAGGCTGACCTTTTATCTTCTTTGCCGTAATCCTGCAATCAGCAGCAAGGGATCCTGGTCTCTTTTAGTGGGGAGTCGTATTTTTCAGTCAGGATCCGGGAACTAGGTATGTTCATTGCTACTGGGTGTCTTGCTTCTAAGCCCTTTCAGTGAACAGAGCTAAGAAATTTTATGTATAAATGCCTCCAAGCATACCAGCAGATCCGAGACCACAGGATTCATCTGCACCCTCCTCTATTCCATACTTACATTTCTTTTTCTCCAACAATCCTGATTCCCGACAATTGCGGTGTATTACAACTGTCTTCTATGCTGTAATACACAGACAAGAATTCCATAATTTAAAAACTGATGGCAAGGCCAATGACGAATCCACTAAGTAAAGTTCAGGATTTCTTGGCAGCCCTCCCCCCCTCCCCCCCATAAATCCTCTTAGGGTGCACAGATACTTCCCTCAAAAGCTGCTTGCAGTACTTGTTTTCTCTTTGAAGTCATGTTATGAATCTGATATATAGTTAGGTTCATCTGTTTCTGTTTGCATTCAATGGAGGGTTTGTTTCCATGAGTTTAGTTTATTTTCTAAATGTGCAAATTCTTTCCCTAGTTTAAAAATCAAAACTGTATGAAAAGGTATCCTCCCATTCACGTTCCCCCATCCATTCCTG